TCTCCAAATTGTGCTGACTGAAGCCGCAGCTGTTTCTTTGCCTGTTTCTTTGATGCAGACTTCGGAGCAGCCAAGCTCGATTTTCGTGGCATGATGTCCTAGTAATTTCGTCACATCGCCACAAGTAAATGAACAGAATACAGTGGGAAAGGAAAACCGACGGCTCATAGGGAGGTTCCTCTCTGCCCCCCATCAAGAAAGTAAGCAACATATTTGGATGGGGAAGGAGCGGTGCGAGGAGGTTGCGCCCGGGTCGTCCGTAGCGATAGGGAAGGAGTCAGGATTAAGAGCCTCCTTGTCACACGATGGAATACCAAAAAATACGGTATTTTACGTATGCACCCTTAAAAATATTAAGGTCTTACGCCCATTTTCTTTGGAAGGTTACATGAATCCTCCCACTCGCCTACCACTGATTGAGGAACCTTTTTTTTCTTTTTTGGAAGAGCGGCCGTTACTCCGTTTGCTTGGTAGTTGACAGTGATTGGAACAATAATATCAGAAGCACCCGTGTCAAGTGGAATTGTCACAGTGAGCACGGACTTCGGGACATCGCAGAGGCCGGCAGGACAGGCCGTGGTTGTTCCTTCACTGTCCACTTGCTTCAGACAAAAGCAGCAGACATCAGGGAGGGCCACGGATGAACTTTCGAAAAGCTGCCTATTCTGTCCTCGGATTACATCTCTTCCGTGCCACGTTGTCACCATGGATTCCGGATGGTCGCTTCATCTAATTGAACGGCCTGCTCACTCTAGTGTGAAGGCTGATGCGTACCTACAGTGTAGGCTGTAGGCATTCGACGCGCTGACGACTCCGCGCACTCCGCCGAAAGTCCGCCCAGTGGAGAAATTTGCGATGGTCCGATCGGCCACAAAAAGCAACATTGAACCTTGAAACCAAAACCTCGTTAGGTAACGCCTACTAGCGCCTTTTAAATTGTTGGTTTTGACATGAACCGTATTTCGGTTCTCTTCCTCCCGCATTGCTACCCAGTAGAAGTTGCTACCCCGGAATACAAGCGGCACTCGGAGGGTGCGACTGAAATACTGTACTCATCTTTTGAGCCAAATCAAGCGGCGACGGCCCGTGAGTCCATAGAATCAGCATGCCGTCTCCAACCGATGTAGAGCCCGCGGCGTCGGTAGCGTCAGCGGCGTTAGACAAGGCGGGAGTCTCAGCCCGTCAACCTTCTCGAGGATCGTACCCTTCAATATCCTCAATATTAACCACTTCATCGGAACGCCTTACGAAAGCTGCCCAAGATGTCCACCCGATATCCGATTCACCAGGAGCCGAAACCGTCCTGTATCTGGCATATGGCTCCAATATGAGTGCTGAAACGTTTCTCGGTGTCCGAGGCATTCGACCTCTGTCGCAGGTGAACGTGGCGGTTCCCAGTCTGCGTCTCACGTTCGATCTCGCTGGAGTACCTTACAAGGAACCATGCTTCGCGAACGTGGGATTTCGAAATGTGCCAGACAAGAAGAAGAGCACTCAGGCCGAATTGATTCACCAGGATATGGAATGGGACGGAGGGCTCATCGGTGTGGTGTATGAAGTTACTCAGGAGGACTACAGAACCATTCTGCGCACTGAGGGTGCAGGCTCCAGCTACAAGGAGATTGTCGTTCCCTGCTATCCCATCGCGCCGAAGGAAATATTTCCCAAGGGACCTACGCCTTTTCTCGCAAGGACGTTATATGCAGCTTACACATCGAACGCGAATGACGATAGGAGTTGGTGGCAGCACCTCCTCGATGGGCGACAAAGACCAGACCCTGATTATGCTCAGCCCAGCTTACGTTACCTGAGCCTACTCCGGAATGGTGGAAGGGAACACGACTTGCCTACCAGTTATCAACAGTATCTTGCATCGCTGCATCCGTATATTGCAACAACATGGGCTCAGAAAGTTGGACAATATTTATTCATTGCTCTCTGGGCTCCGTTGTTGATATTCTATCTCATCACGTCCAGATTCTTGGCGGATGAAACTGGCAAGCTCCCACCATGGCTTGCGGGTGGCGTGACATTGATATTCAACATGATGTGGATGTCGTATGACGCTGTATTCAAGTCCATATTCGGCGATGGAGAGAGGACCGAGGAGGAAGAGTCGGATGAAAGTAAATCGCTCCTAGGTAATCGCAAAGCATAGGTAGGGAGATAGATAGAGAGGGCTGGGGCACATAGTCACAACTTACTGCTGATTAGCCTTGGCACGTCACATCATGTAACACACTTGCATGTAGCGTATATGTATAGTCTGAAGCTCGAGTGCATAACACCCTTCAGAGGATTTCGGTTGCTGATGTCCTACCACAGCTTCGTCTTGTAGAGTGTTGTGGGTATTCGTACCTAGTCACATAGCCTTCATGAACCCCGTACAGAGTAAAAGAGGGCTTGCTAGATAGGGGAAATTGGCATATGCTACCTGACTTTCACCTTCGAAAGTCTCGCCACGGCACCTCGGCTTCGGCGTGACAATGAGGAGGCGGCCAAGAAAAGGCAGTAGATTGAGGACCACCGGGGACAGATGTGGACAATACATGTCTGGTACGCTCTGTAAGTCCTCGGCTCGGAGAATCCGCAAAATATGCTATGATGCCATGGACCTGCAGGAAAGCGGCAGCTATCTCGATTCAACGGCCGCATGTCCTGCAACACACAGCTGAACCCTGCTCCATCTAGGAGAATCAATTGACGACATCGCCCTGGCATCTGGCATGTGATGTTAACTCCTTTGGTATTTATCCCAACAGGCCACAGCGGCACAGTGTCCGCCGGAAGCCCTGTCAGAGATACGCAATGCACTGCCTGGCTACTGGTTGAGGATCGCTATAATTAGCGTCTGGATGTCTGGTCGCATCATTGATGTCAGCTGGCATGTGACAGCCTGAGAAAAATCCCAGCAAGGTCCAAGAAGCCTCGCATCTCGGCCAGACCCGGCCATGACCGAATTGCCCCAACACGGACCAACCGTTGGGCGCTAAACTAGAATAAGCAAGCGGTGAAGCGCGTGGGCTCGTGCTCCTTGCCCATTTCATTTTTTTGCCCAGTGAGAGCTTCAGTACGATGCTGCTGTGCCGTTGGAGGGGCAGTTCAAATGTTCTGGGCCTTGCATCATGGGTGTCGACCAACATTTCTCTCTTGGCTCAGGGCACATATATTGAAGCGCGGTCCCCCTCGTACGTACCCTCAAGATCCTCATTCTCATTTGCGGGATACATCGTATGCCGCGGCTACACATTCTGCGATTCTCTGCCCAGCTTCGCCGCTTGCAATCTTATTCTTCGCCTGTCCGGTATTACTCTGCAGCACTCGGCAAAATGACGGGCAACGGGCTTCTTGGTGGCCACGAGAAGAAGCACAAGGTCACCATTGTGGGATCCGGCAATTGGTAAGCACACACGAAGTGGCGCGGCATTGAGGTTGAACGGCATATGCTATGCAGAGATTGTGAAATGGTATCTAATATTGTTCTTCCTCCCTAGGGGTTCTACGATTGCCAAGATTGTTGCCGAGAACACAAAGCAGCATAATGACGTCTTCGAGGAGCAGGTCCAGATGTGGGTGTTTGAGGAGGAAGTTGTTGTTACCAGCGACTCGAAGCACTACGATCCATCTATGGGCGACAAGCCTCAAAAACTGACCTCCATTATCAACAAATATCACGAAAACGTCAAGTACCTGCCTGGTATTACTCTCCCCTCCAACATCGTCGCCAATCCCTCGCTCGTCGATGCCGTCAAGGACTCGTCCATCCTCATCTTCAATCTGCCACATCAGTTTATCGCCAAGGTCTGTGACCAGCTGCGGGGCCGCATTTTGCCATTCGCACGCGGCATCAGCTGTATCAAGGGAGTCAACGTCACCGACGACGGTGTCAGCCTGTTCAGTGAGTGGATTGGTGACGGCTTGAATATCTACGTTGGTGCCTTGAGTGGGGCCAACATCGCCAGCGAGATTGCTGCCGAGAAGTGGTCAGAGACCACCATCGCCTACGACCCGCCACCGATGGACAATAGCAGAAATCCTTCGCCACGCTCTGGTAGTCCCAACCCCGGCATTACCGTCACCGACCTGCAGGATGTTTCGCACAGAGATTGCAGAGGCCGAGCCTCCAAAACTAAGCTCACTGGTGTGCCTGCGGAATATCCGCCACTGGATCATGATTGCTTCCGCACTCTATTCCATCGCCCGTACTTCCATGTTCAGATGGTGTCCGATGTCGCCGGCGTCTCGCTTGGTGGTGCCTTGAAGAATATTGTTGCTTTAGCTGCTGGTTTTGTTGACGGGCGTGGCTGGGGTGATAATGCCAAGGCTGCGATTATGCGCATCGGCTTAATGGAAATGGTAAAATTCGGAAAGGAATTCTTTGGTGAAACAGTCCAGAGCCAAACCTTTACTGAAACGTCTGCTGGTGTAGCTGATTTGATTACGTCTTCTTCTGGCGGACGAAACTTCCGTTGTGCCAAAAAAGCTGTTGAGAAGGGCATCACAGTTGATGAAGTGGAGCAACAAGACTTGAACGGCCAGAAGCTGCAAGGAACGACCACAGCATATGAGGTCAACAGCTTTTTAAAAGCACGTGGGCTGGAGAAGGAATACCCCTTGTTCACGGCGGTCAACGACATTTTGCTCAACAAGAGACGGGTCGATGATATCCCCAACTTGGTGGCACAAGTCACAGATGGTGCGTGAAAAGGATAATTTTGTTTTGTCATTAAGGAATAAGTGCCCGCGATTCAAATAACAGCCTAGCCCGCAAGGAGCTGAGGTCATTCCTGTTTGTTCATCGTTACGGCCAGGGTGGGCAAGGAACGTTGAAGAACATGCATTAAAGAGGGAGGGATTTTACACGGACAATATATATATAGCGGCAGGGCTTCAAAGCCAGCTTCATCTTGGCGTTCGCTTCTTACCAGCATATATTACTATATTAATGGTACATGCAGTTATGATACGCCGCAGAATCATTATGATTGTGCAAACTGTTGTTATGCAACCTGGTAAGAATCTAAAGAATATTCTAGAAAATAGTTCGGTTCGCCCTGGTACTCTTCTAGAGGCCGAGGAGCTGTTGAACCAACTTCATGTTGACTGCAGGTGCCCTTTCTATCAAAACGACCGCGTTTTGAGAAACGCTGATCCAGCCACTCGAGCCAGATCTGTTGCGTGGCATATACGACAGACACATGGCCGGCGCTGTTGACCTTTACATATTGCAGTTCATTTTGGGGGTATTTCTCGCACGTCTTGTTGACGTATTTGGCGGTCAAGGTTTCAGGAAGGATATGATCAGCTGTTCCCTGCAGCACGAGCATAGGCCCTTGGAAGTCCTTGCCTCCAGCAACGGTAAGGTCCGCCCAAAGTTTTGAATAGTGCGAATTGACAAACTCGTCTCTAGTCAGATTCACCTTGGGGTGTAAAAAGTCCGTTCCAGCCAGCTCCATGGCTGCGGTTGCAAACACAGAGTTGCAGCTCTGTATTATGCCCATCAGATCGACAAACTTCTCACCCACATCAGTCAGAATGCTTGAGATGGGAATCTCGGGAAAAACCAGACGAATTGCCTGAGCCGCTTGAACGAGCCCAATCTTGCTCTGTGTGGTAAAGAACTCGAAGGAATTCGTCACCGGAGCCGCCGCGATGCTGCCCATGAACCCAGGGACTTTTGCGTCGACCTGTTGCTGAGCCGCAGCCCAAGCAGCAGCACCGCCCTGTGAGTGGCCCATGACGACGAAATCATGGCTGATACGGTGTGGAAAAGCTGCGTGCGCAGCTTGGGCGGCGTATAGCAGGTCGTTGCCCGCCGCTGGCGATGCCCATATTCGTGGGTAATATTCTTGCCATCAGGGTAGAATGGAGCTCCAAGGCCAGCGTAATCTGTTCCCACGACGGCATAGCCAGCTAGTGCAAGACTGTACGGGCCAGAGAAGTGGAACGAGAGGCTGCGAATGTGAGATGGTGCGCATTCTGCGTATATGCCTGTGGTGCCGTGGCCCCAAGATACAAGAGGTGCGACCAAACCACCTCCTCGGGGCATGTATGGCCACAGGATATATGCTGATACCGGCACGAGGGTTCCGTTTAGAGTCTTGGATTGGTATACGATGCGCGACAGGGCGAGCGTTGGGGCGAGCGTGTAAGTGGACGTGTTTATGAACTCTTGGGCTTTTAAGACGGAGCCGGCGGCGGCGGATGTGGCGTTTGGCGGGAGATGGGTGTAAAACGGATCGCCAAAGACGGAACCGGTGGCCCAGTTGGAGCGTTCAAATTGCGCAGCAACATTGATATTGTTGGCTGCGGAGGATGACAAGTTCAGAGTGGCAATTTGCTCATCGGTGAGAGTGAAGTTGGAGCTGAATGTGTTTGTTTGTGGTTTGAGTAACTTGCCGCTGGCAATAGATGCCAACGAGCCCAGCGGCAATAACAACGTGGACGATATGTGGAGATGCATAATCAGAAGGGCATATTCTGTCTTTGAACAAATTGTCAATTGTTAAGGGAAATTTCAAAATCACGGCTTGCCTTTGTACGAGCTTGTCGTGACGATGACGCCTTTAGTTGATGCTCGTCTCCCCCGGCAGATCGGATTGGCAAAGTTGACCCCCGTCCGTGGCGTCGGCAGAACGACGCCGCATGTACACAGGATAAGCACTAAACTCGGTTGGGACTCCCCAAGTCAGAAGTTTGACCCATTCGGGCGATTAGACGGAGACTGCCGGGGGAAGCTCATCTGATACTAGTTCTGAGAGTGTGCTGCGTGTAAGCGGACGGTAGGGTTGACGAGGCGCACACAACTTGTCAGACCGCACGCTGGCCGAGACGTCAACTTGGTAGGAAGGGACAGGCAGTCAGATTTCGTTGCTCAGATCAAACTGCGAAGATCTGAACCTGTCATGCGGAGTAGATGCAAAACAGGCACTGGGCTGACAATCTCCATTAGGATGTCCCGCGTTGGCCGACTAATACGGCAAGCCGAACTTGGAAACACTCAGTTCTAAGCGATGAGTGTTTAACTAGTCTTGTCCAATAGCGAAGCAAGCCTCTTTTTCGACGTTGATCACCAACTTTATAGGGGATACCTCTTTCACATTACCCCGTAGTCGTTGCCGAATTGTGGGTTTATTTGATGCGTCAGAGAGATCCGGACGGCGTCTGATATCGTAGGGGCAGGGGGCAGCCCCGATCTCGACTTGTGGCAATAGAGTAAGACTTGTACAACATCCATGTCAACAGCCGAAATGGAACTGGCTCCTCGAGAGTAGCAGTCCGAGCTGTCTCCTTGGATGCGAGGAGATGGACGAATGACGCAGCTTGAGTCTGGGTCAACCGCAAGAGTCAAGTTGTATCTGCGAGGCAAAGGTGGAACAATGGACGCCTCGCAGCAACATTCCCTACATTTGCGTTTGTGGGAGCGTGTGATGCAACGATGGTGTTGGTAAAACAGGTTTCAAGAAGGCATCAATGTCTGATGGTTGAACACGACAGCCGTCAATAGCATCTCTATGAGAGTCTTGTCTTGGACAGATGACCCCCCGTCTCGAGTTGAGTTGCCTCCTTCGATCCACAGGGCTAATAGTTTCCATCTCTGACAAGATTGCAGACTGCCTCCTACAGTCGTATTGCTTATCTTCCTGGCCCCTTTCGAGGGCTCTACCGCCGCAACCTACCTAGTTCGCCAGATGCACACGTCGTACAGACGACAAAGATCGCCGCCCTCGGCCCATTGTGCCGCCCTCCCTATCTCGTTATATCTTTCCATCCGCCGTGCCCTGTATTACTCGCTCGCCGCCCACACCACAATCTGTCTCGGAAACGGGTTAGGTAGATGCAGCCTAGAGTGCATGGATAGCGGAAATGGCCGACTTGCATGCCCTCTGATGAGGATACTTGGAGGGTTCCATGCTGTGGAATCGTATAAGGCTCAAGCGAGGGCTCGTTTGCCGTCGGAGATGTTACCCGTTTTCATGCCCTTGCGCGAATGTAGTGATGACCTGACTTGACAGTGCCACATTAAGCCCACTTGCGGCCAGGCAGATCATCAGTGCCGGTGCCCGATGGAACTATTTCTACAACACCCTTGTAGGCGGAGCCATTCTGGAACTCGTCACCAGCATGATGGTACATGTTTTGGTCAGAGATGTCGGACAAGCTCCGATTGCACAAATCAGAGGATTACAGCATGTCATTGGAGTGATGGCACTGCCAATACAGCAAAGAACAGGGCAACATGGCTCATGTCCATCGTCTTGCTTGTCCACACGGGCGCCAAAGGTGTCACTCATATCTCCGGTAACTGAGGCTCGGTGATGCTAAATATAATACGATAGACGAAACATGTTTCAGTTAGCAGTTGGATCGCAGAGATCACGAAGCAGGCCTCGGCGGAGAGGGGATTGCAAACCAGGTCTTGTTCCCAGCGTTATCTGGGCGGCGGTTGTGACTATCGGTCGAGTCGTTTTGAGCTGTTTACGCGACGTCCTGGGTGATATCTCGGTTCCCCTGGCCCTCTTATTTGACTTCGCTCCTTTGCGACGTTTTTAACTTTTGTTCTCTTCAGGTGAGCGAATGACGATTGCAGGCTACTCGATGGCGTCCCTTTTCTGGAAAGTCCCGACGTTTGCCGTATCAGCTGCTGTAGTTGTAGTCCTTTGGTAGGTCTTTTTTTTTTTTTTTTCACCGAACCGCTGTTTCCGGGTGCGATTGTCGTAGTAGCAGGCAAACTGTTGGCAAAACATATCCATACCCCTGGCATTGGGATAGCTTGGGGCGTTGTCCGTCATCTGGGCGTTATTGCCGCAGATGAAGTGGCACGCACACTGGATATCAAAGGTGGAGGCGACGATACCACGGATGAACGATGAAACATTATACATCTGATGGGGTCCTGTACATGAGGAGATGTGCTGTCTGGTGGGTCATTCTGTCAAACTGCGATGTAGATGTGGTAGATCTCCCCGTTCAGGACCAGTAGCAGTAGTTTGCGGCGAGAAGACAGAGATTGGCCGAATTTGGTTGCGACGCGTCCCGTTGAAAGCCAGGGGGACCGAGGACCAAAGTTGTCCGATCAAGGATATCTGCCAAGGCTCAAGGTTCATAGATGCCCAGGAATCCAGGATTGCAAATGGCTGCAACGCACATCGTCATCGGCCGGTTCACATGCGTGCTTGAAGCACACATTCTGCCTACATGTAGATTTGCCCGGACATGTCACCTACAAGGATGCGAGATGGGCGATGGGTGAAGTGAGATGTGAGATGTCGATAAGATACATAGACTCGACGAGAGACCAATGAAAAGTCGGCAGTCCAGTTCAGGAACAGAACTCGCCCTAGAACTTTTATGTGGGACTCTCACGTTGTACCATCACTCACGGAACCTTAACTAGAACCTTAGTTGCCGAGTGCTCGCCATTCGTTCGTTGCCTGAGGGCTGGAACATGCGCAACCTCTCAAATGGCAGAGTCGCAACACGGGGGGGATAGCTTCCGTCACCGAATCCTCTTTCATCAACATTGAAGGCCACGTAATGTGGATTCTACGGGGGACGGGTTACCACTTTTCCAGAGTTGCTGCCCAGAGGTCAAAGCTCTCACAACCTATCAACTCATGATATCCACACATGCCAGCTTCATCACGTCACATTGGAGAAGAGGTCGAGTTTTCATTCTTTTTTTGGTCGCTACCTTTCGCACTAGGTTATTAGTGTAACTATAGAGTCAAACTCTTATCTCAGCAGCAAACTCGGAGCGCTACCATGATTCGAAGGGGTGGTGTGGATGTTGGCCGTCTCCATGCCGCCGCACAGCCCAATCGGGGGAGCAATAATCTCTGTCCCACGACTCCATGATGCCAAGGCCCTACTGCCGGGTTGGGGGCCATCAGGCGTCCTTGTACCGACATCCAAATGAGGCACTACGGCCTCCGTCGTCGTAGGGCATATGCATCTGCCAGGGGTGGTTGCCGGGGGCCGTGGTCTTTGGATATTCTCACGAGCCCCTGTAGGCAGTGTGTAAGTGATAAAATTCTATGGAACTCATTGTGCAAGATGAGGAAGAATACAAAAAAGACAGATATTTCCTTCGACTTGGTCCCATCTAGTGTTTCGATGTGAGCCAACCGAGTCTTGTGGCGAGTGCTCTTTTCTTCTTCTTCTTCTTCTTCTGCTGAAGCATTCCATCATGTCCGAACTTACAGCGGCCGAAAGGGTCCTCCATGACCAGGCAAATTTATTGCCTCGTCGGAAACTCATCCCTGTTTTATGTGTGCTTGCCATTCCGTCCATGATATCCTTCATTGATCAGAATGGAATATCGACTGCCCTGCCCACCATTGCTGCCGAGTTGAACGCCAAGGACACCATATCCTGGGCAGGCACCTCGTCTCTGATAGCGAATACGACATTTACCATGCTCTACGGCCGGCTGTCTGACATTTTCGGACGGAAAAACATCTACGTTACTGCCGTGGCTCTGCTTGCTTTGGCTGATTTGATGTGTGGAATGAGCCGAAATGTGACCATGTTTTACATCTTCCGTGGCATTGCGGGCATTGGAGGTGGTGGCATCGTCAACTTGAGCATGATTATCGTCTCGGACGTTGTGACCTTGGAAGAACGAGGTAAATATCAGGGCATCATCTCTAGTATGGTCGGCGTGGGTAGTGCCACGGGCCCTTTTATTGCTGCTGCATTTATGTCCAAGTATACTTGGCGTGGCTTCTTTTATCTGCTGGCTCCTCTGAGTGCGCTGAGTTGTCTCGTTGCCATCATCTTTCTGCCGTCCAAGCCTCCTACTGCTGGTTTCACAGAGAGTATGAAGAAAGTCGACTGGCTGGGGTTATTCACTTCTTCTGTCGCCGTCATCTTCTTGTTGATTCCCATCTCTGGAGGTATGTTTCTCATAGCATGTTGTCAACCATTGCCCCCGTCGCTGATGAATGGTGTAGGAGGAGCGTACTTTCCATGGGACTCACCCATGGTTATCGCTATGCTAGCTATTGGCACCTTGTTTTTAATCGCCTTTGTCATTATTGAATGGAAAGTGGCCGCTTTACCAATGATGCCGAGTGAGTGGCTACATGCACATCTTTCAACCCATTTTCAAGCAGTGACTGATCTATTATCATCACAGTCTCCATGTTTAAAAACCCCGTCATCGTTGTGATTCTCATTCAGACCTTCCTTCTCGGACTTGTCTATCAATCATACGTTTACTACGTCCCGTTGTATTTGCAAAACGCGCGCCAGTTCTCCATCATGACATCGGCCCTCATCTTCTGTCCCACCGTCGGAATTCAAAGCGTATCTGGCATACTAGCTGGCTATTGGATCGCGCGATACAAGAGATACGGAATTGTCATCAAGTGTGGCTTTGGGCTGTGGTTGCTGTTTGTTCTCCCTTCCCGGATGAACTGGGGACGTTTGGCTAATATATCACAGCGGCGCTGGACTCACTCTCATATACGACCGACAAACGAACCCCGGTGCAATCGTCGCACCTCTAATCATTCTTGGCATCGGCGTCGGATTAGTGTTACAGCCAACCTTGGTTGCCCTCCAAGCCCATTCCCCAAAATCGAGACGGGCTGTTATCATATCCAACAGAAACTTTAACCGCTGCTCAGGTGGTGCGGCTGGGTTGGCCATATCAGCTGCCGTTCTGCAAGTGGTACTTCGAAATTCCTTGCCTCCAGAATATGCACACCTAGGCCACTCCAGCTTTGACTTGCCTGATGTACCTGGCGGTATTCCATCTAGTGTCCTTGACGCCTACATGTCCGCGAGCTACGCCGTTTTTGTTCTACAAGTTCCACTTGTGGGAATATGCTTCTTGGGAACATTTTTGATCAAGGATAAGGGCTTGGCTTTTGCTGACGAACCCAAAGTACAAGAGGCTCAGGGTGTAGGTGAAACTGATCTTGAATCCGGACCGTCATCATCAGGATCCAGTGTAATGGAGAAGGGAACCAGTAACGTTGCCAGCACTGGAAGAAACACGGTGAAGCGTGGTGATTCAGGTGTGAGAGTAACCGTATCAAGCAAGGATATGATGGACAAGATGTAGGCAGCAGTACACTGAAAAGCATATATAGCAAGTCATTCATTTACATTAAAAAGGGGAATTCCATGACTCAAGTTTCGACGCACTCCTCTTTGCGAATGGTCGGCTGATGGCAGAGTTGACTTTCAGCCATGATTTCGTGGTAGAGAGGCAGAGAGCAAATAAATAAGCTATCAATGGTAATTTCATGGTATGGAAAGGCAAGTTGCTTGCCCAGACCCTGACCCTGACAGGAGACTTGGGCGTATTGACACAATGGTTGTGCACATGTGTCAAGAAAACAAACCACACCAAAACCAATGAGGGCAAGAAAGAGAGAAGACGTGTGCTAATAATATTGCTCACTCATAGAATAGTTCAACTCAGCACTTGTCAAATGGCTGGATTTTGCAGGGTTTCCCTTTGTGTCGCTTCACGAGAGCCTGGAGGGCAATGGTCGGCCCAACAAGGTGATGAAGCTGCATGTTTCAGATGAGTGCATCTTGCCGGGACCTCTAGTCCATTAAAAAGATATCACTGCAGACCTTATAAGAGGGAGTAGCACTGCTAGCGCGGGGGCTCCGACTACGAGAACTCTGCAACAGCACAACTTTATTTTGACACTGGAACGGCACTGCAGAGGTACAAACACGTGAATCCGGACACTCAGTATAGATATCCTGCGAGAATCGAGCGATATGGATTTCGTCTTTTACTCTACCCTTTACTTCTCACATTCCCACTTCCATACTGTAATATGCCTTGGATGTCGTGTGTCGACGAGCAGCGGCCTGGAGTAACTACGGACGAACGTCGTACAAAATTATTGGAAAAGGAGAGTCAGTCACGTGAGTATAAGTAAGATAAGGGCAATCTAGTATTAGTATTTATAGTGAGTATTGCCCCCAACCGTCAGGTCGGAGGGCAAGACGAATACAACACATTTTGTGCACACTCTACATTTCAACAAAATTGACAACTCTGAATCGGATATATGAGGCTTCTTTCTTCTTGCGGTCAAAAGGGAAAAAGTCGTCTCGGATTGAGAAAGTGGCTATTGTAGGTGCAAGTGCTGTCAACCCCTTAGGCCTCACGTCTCTACTCAAATTGACATGGCAAGTTGAGTCACTGGCCGAGTCGACGAGTATATCACTGCTGCCTCCAAAGCTGGGGTTGCTTGGGCGTTGCCCAAGTGCTACGATACCACTGTCTTAGACGCAAGGAGAACTTGACTCGCCCGGGTGTCATTCCCGGTATCGACCCCCTTGAGGAACAAGGTGTTTCTTCTTGGATCGCCATGTGCACTTCATTTTGGTATGAATCCTCATTGGCCGTGGGCCCGTGCTGGTACTGTTTCGATTTCAAGACCAAAAAAGTCACTTTGATCAATGACGGCAAGACCAGAATCAACACGTCTACGTGTGAACAGTGCGGTCCCGCTACAAAAGCTCTCCTCGGCCTCAAAGGAGCTTCCTGAAGATGAAAGCGACACGTCTCCAACGCTGTCCAACTGGCGCAACAAGCCTCTATCCGTTTCCAGCTTCTTGGTGTCGCAAAGAGATGTCAATTAATGCTTGACGGCGTCAACCATGGTATGGGCACCATCGACACCGACTGAATTATTGAGTATCGCCCGCACGATGAAGATATATCACACGAGGGTGATATGGAGATCATGAGGTCGGGAAACCACCTAGGATTCGATGTTTGCCTTCATTAAGCAAAGCGGCGCTTTGCTTGAGATTTGCGTCATTGATGCGAAGGGCAGGCAAGCGAGGTAGGGAGCTACCCGATTTGCTTCTTTAATGAGT